CCCCACTATGGTCCAAAGTAACCGGTTCATTTCTGTTACAGGAAATATGTTGTTTCCTCTGCGATCACAACTGGTCTTCCAGCTCATGAAGTAGATGGCATTTTTGGAAAATAAATTTGCCAAAGCTGGGAAGCCCCAATCTGAATTTGGATGTGGAATAAAACATTAATTCCAAAAAATTAAATGGGCAAAAAAAACTTCCAAAAAATGTTAAAACCATAAAAAAAAGTGTAGCCACTATATAGTTATGTACATGTGCTACTATAGAGATGTGAATTCTAACTATAAAGAGTTAATTGCATCTGTGTGTGAAGAGAGGCAGAGAAAAGTGGGGATTGTAGTACAGAGTCGATATGGATACCTGAGTGAAAGGATGTTGAGAACTACATCTCCCAGAATGCCGTGCAAGAGGAAACAGGAGGATTATGGGTTGCAACTACTGAGCGCGGGCAGTCTAGGACCAGGAGCTGAAGTGTGAGGACGTCTGCGATACCGTGGGAGTGAAGGCTGCCTGCAACAGGGCCGTGTGGTCACCGCTGTCTGGTAGGGACACAGACTCTGTACCGCAGTGTGCGGAGACTATTGTCCAGTTGTGGAACGTAAAAGACGGCGATTGAGCGCCCACGCTGAGGCCTGGTGACGCTTCAACAGCGGGGATATCACGGCCTGATCGCGCAGCCGGCCCAGCCTCTGGAGTGACCCAGTCAGCTCAGCTGAGGGAGCGGACCCTAACGGAGCTGAGGGTTGATCATTGCCAGAGTTCCAGAAAACCCTAGACAAGCGGTGATGGGTTTTCCAGGAAACCCTAGACAAGCGGTGACGTGTTGCCAGAGGCCATAGAAGACTTCTCCTTCCCCCTAAGTGTAGTTCTGACGAAAGAGGGACTTTCATCTGCTGCTGAAAGACATCCCCTTTCCAAGATAACTCGGGGAGTGGTGAGAGGCCTCTGGGCCAATGTGGCAATGTATTTTTACACATCTGCTACACAGTATGGGCCCCAACGTTGGCTAGCCTAGGACATTACTACTGTCCAGTAGTCTAGAGGGGGTGTGATACTTCCTAGGGGATATATTACTGCTGAACTTCTCTGTCTCAAGACTTAGCCCTGAGACAGTCTGGCATCATTGGTTTCCGTATAGGCAAATGATAGCCACAGTTACTGACTGTCAGAGTGCCTTAGCCGTCATTTATTGCAAAGTATGTAACTGGTAAACCATTAATAGTCTTACTCTGCACAGGTCAACCATTAAATCCTTTACAAAACCCATTAAAGGTGTGTTGGTGTGCTGTGGATCCACCATATGGCGGTACATTGGTGCATGGGTACAGAAAGACCCGTTACAATCAGCGGCTATGTACTTACCTGGTGACAGATTTTCCTCCCCCCGTCTGAGGTGCTCGGCTTATGTTATGTTAGGTTACATTATGTTGATCTCCAATAGTTCTGAACCATAAACGTTTAACGCCCCAGAAAAGGAATGAAGAGAAAATCTAAATCGAAACAAAATGAAATTTTTTTTTTACGTGTTACACGTCTAATGACCAATACGGACTAAGATAACCAGTGTGGACTAAGATGACCAATGCAGACTAAAATGACCAATCCGGACTAAGATGATGAATACCAACTAAGATGATCAGTATGGACTAAAATGACCAGTACAGACTAAGAGGACTAGTACGAGCTAAGATGACCAGTACAGACTAAAATTACCAAAAAAAAATCTGAATTGATCTGAACCAAAAACGAAAAATTTTGAACGATCCGAACCAAAAAAACAAAAAATACAAAATGTAAATCGATCTAAAACGAAACAAGCTTTTTGAGCCTTTACATGTATATTACCTGGTAGCCCAACTAGTTTATATCAGATAGTTGCATCCAGACTTAAACATAGCTGCAACTGCAATATAGGCTTTTATCCTGACTTCATATAAACCTTGTCAAATTAAAGGAGAACTATTAAGAGAGTAAAATATACTGTTCCCAATAGTTTGAGTTGGCGTGTGACACTGCCGCTGTCACATGCCAGCTCTATTGCTTGAGAACGGAGTGATCACAAACTGCTGATTGATCAGCTCATGGCTTCTGCCTGCAGAGAGCGTTAACTGTCATTCACCACTGTCTGCAGGAATTGCCCTCTCCCCTCTCTCTGTTCCTCCAGTGCTCATTGGAGGGACAGACAGGCTAAGGGGCAGGAACAGCTGGGTTTGGCTATTGAGAGGCAGAGCCAGCTGTCAATCGGGGATAGCTAAGAAAAATGTTAGCAGTCAGCACAGGCGATCACATGAATTTCTGAGGGGATCAAGAGTTATTGTTTTGAATTTATTAAACATCCTACATTATAAAGTTAGAAGATATAAAAGGTACATTTTATAGTCCTCTTGTGTTCTATAAATGAAAAGATGCTAAGTAGACATCTTTGGGTTACGGGGGGATAATCCTATCATTTGCAGATGGGGGAGGGAATGGGGTTAAACCAGATGGTAATCCTGCTCATTGGCCCCATCAAAATCAGCATATATGTTTTTCAATATATTTTCTTGTGACTTGCTACCTACAGGATGTTGTAAAAGCCATTCAAAAAGCCAAGGGTGTTAAGCATCTGGTATCCATGACAACTAGTGAGCATGCCATCATGCAAAATGAAGCCCTTATCGCTTTGGCCATCGCCTCTGCAATCAACCTTGGTAAAATATCATTATATAACTTTATTTTAAATTTTTCTTTAACTTAAAACAGTAAATAAATATCAGTAGGAACAAACAGGAGTACTGGCCTAAAAAATAAATGTACACATACGTGTACAGTTCTACACATACATACACCCTTATTGACACTTGTCCTATGGGTGAGCTACATAGCGCACACACACACCACATTCAAATAGTTTTACACATATCTTAAAGAGGAACTTTACTCACCAATTTAATATCTCAAAAGCAGTTACTTTTAAGGCATTCTAAGTGTCAGGGTTGTCGGTGTTCTCATTTCAGCTCTCAATCGAGCTTTCAAGCCCTCAAATGGCTGGTGTCATAGCTGATCACATGTGCAGGACCATGACAACTGCAATCCAAATAGAGGCTAAGATGACACCTTCCTTGGTTGTACGGGACAGGGGTTTTAGTCGCATTTTGACTTGTTACAATTTGAAAACAGCTCTCAGAGTACTGCAGTATGAAATACTCTCTCTAGGCCTATAGTCCATGTACATTGTAGTGCATGCTGAAATTGTATTGCATATGCCCTAGTACCTCCATGCTTAGGAAAGAGGCCTAGGTTGCTGGAAATATCACTTTTCTTAAAGTGGACCTTTACCTCCTTTTACTAAAAATCACATCAGCATGCTGATTTCAAATTATCTTAAATTATCTTATGTTCACTAGTTAAACAAACTTGTTTTTCATTTACTAACAAATAGCATTCATCTACTTTGTGGTCCAGTTCTGGCACAAATTATGTATATGCCCAAGCGCTGCATCCTGAGAAGGTTGCATCAGCAGAGCATTGCTGGAAAATCTCATGTGTAATCTCAGGGAAAAGCATTTTCCTCCCCTGAGATGATGTGCATGGTCACATGTCCTGGTCACACATGTGCCAGAGTTTCAGGAAATAAAAGGAGAGCTAGTAACCTGCCCTTAGTTAACATGGCCACTGTCAGAAGACTAGGAAATAAGGTATGCAAAGAATACAAAGACTGCAATTATCTAGAAGTACGTGTTTGTAGATTGTCACTACTAAACATTTCTAAATGTGTGTTTGTTGTTCTTTTAAAGATATGGGTAAAGTTCCTCTTTAACAAGGGTTTATGAAGATTGTTTTATATTTGTACAGATTGATGACTTTAATTAATCTGAATAAAAGAGCCTTTTAATATGTTAAAAGACATGGGTGTAGATGACAATTTTTATATTGAAAGCTTTGGCAAAGCTCACACAATCTGTGCCTACCAAGAGCATGGTGGCTGTTTTATATTATTCTTGTTTTCAATCAGACAGACCCTGTCTGGCAGGCTTGCACTGAGATAAGGGATTAGCTAGGTACCGTCCCTGTGCAGCACTACCAACTATGAAGAAAAGACTTCATATGTAAAGGAAAAATAAGGTTATCCCTATGTACACACATATGTTTACAAACTATACATAGACACAGGGGGGTTCATTTACTAACCTTATAAACACGCCACGAACAAGTATACACCTCTGTAGTGTGTTCCCTCCCAGCATGATCTATTGGTGGAATCTAGACACCTTTGTAGTGTGTACACACCCAGCAGGTGTGTTGTGCAAAGCCCTGCATGAATTGCAAGGTGATGTTGTGTAAATTAGCTCTACATTGTGTTGCTTGCGTTGATGAATGCAGGAATGTAAATGCATGAGCTAACCATTTTTGTCTAAACTGTGAAGCAGCATTATATATGCATCATGTGCATGATTTTTCCATATATGGCATTAGTGGAAATATGCTTTCAGAGACTTTTTGGTTGATAAATACGTTTTGCTGTGTAAAAATCACACGCACCTAGTGCGTGCGTGTGCTTAGGTTAGTAAATCACCCACCGGGGTGTTTGAAACATCAGCATACATTGATAAGATAATTTACAATGAACAGATCACTTCTACGGGTATATCTAAAAGCATTAAAGATCTACTGTAATATACAATTGTCTCTATTACCTTTTTATATTTCAGAAATAGTTGAAGAAGCCTTTAAAGAGACGGACTTGGTAGCAATCATAGTTAAAGTTTTGCAGGATGAATCAGTGGGTCCAGAGGTGAAGTACAATTCAATGGGCCTACTGTGCAGCCTTCTAGACTCAGGTATTGGTGGATTCTCATATTTAACTATTTACTTTTGCTGGCTAGTTAGGGTCTGGAACTCACTGCCACAGGCGGTGATTTCAGCAAATAATGTGGAATTGTTCAAGAAACTTTTGGACGATTTCTTAAGGGACCGTAATATACAGGGGTACGGGTACTCCTAGAATGAGATCCTAATAGGTTGGACTTGATGGACTAATGTCTTTATTCAACCTCAAATACTATGGACTATGGCAAAGTCCACGGGCATCTAGGGATGTTGAAGGCTTCTTTAATGACAACCTATTAGACACAAATGTGCTAAAAAATATGCAACAGTACTAATAGTTAATTGTGAAAAGAGGGTTCATAAGGTATTAAAAAAACCTGAAAAAATGGAGGACAGCACTAGACACAGATTGTTCCAAGACCATCAGTACTATAGAAAACAGTGACTAGTAGCTAACTACAAGAACAATTCAGAAACTATTTCTAATTACTGAATCAGATTGGGAAGCAGACAAGGCCTCACCAGATAGTTCCGCCTATCATTAAAGTTTTGTTTTGAATTTGGATAGAGTGGTGAGGGGTTAGGACCACTGTCAGGTAAACAGTTGTGCTAGCTCTTATAATTAAGGGGGATATTTTGGGCTATAACTTTTGTATTCTTGGGAAAACTTACATTATTGCACTTTGAGAAAATAGTTTTTTACCCTTACCCTGCATTTTCATTATATATGTATTAATTGTTGATTTGTTTTGAATGGTCTATATCAGGGTTCAAAATTTCAAGTCCTGAGTTACTCGCCACTAGTTGCCCCACCTAACCCCTACCCTGCCCCGGCCTTAACTCCGCCGCTAAACACACCCTCTTAAATAATTTTATGATAATTCTTATCTTATGATAGTTGCTTGTAAACAGCAGATTAGGAATTCCTGCTACAGGAAAACGCAAGTTCCTGATGCAGGAATCCCTAATCACACCTGAAATATATGTGTAAATTGGGGCCCAATATACTCATACAGTAAAACACATTAATACACTTCTCAACATTACGCCCTCCCACCCTGCACAAGTATAATAATAACATTTCCCCCCCGCACACAAAAAATAATACATCTCCCCCCCCTGTTATAAGCCCCCACACATAAAATAATACACTCCCCCTTAATGCCCCCCCACACATATAAAATTATATACTCCCCCCTTATTAACCCCCCACACACATAAAATAATACACTCCCCCTTATTAACCCCCCACACACATAAAATAATATACTCCCCTTTATTAACACCCACACACATACAATAATACACCCCTCCCCCCTTATTAACCACCCCACACACATATAAAATAATGAAAATAAAACACTCCCCCTTCCCCCTTATTAACTCCCTACACACACAAAATAATAATACACTCCCGCCAGCCCCCTCACCTGTTCACGGCTTTGCAGGGAGGAGGCTGTGAGGAGGATCGATCCCTGGCTATCTGGGGGTGATTAGTGAGGTCTGCAGACCTCACTAATACATCCTTTTCTTTCGGCCGAAACTCAGAACTGTCAGAGCTCCGGCCGAAGGAAGCCGGAGCTGACAGGAGCAGCTCTGCGGTCTGCATCCGACACAGATGCAGATTGTGGAGCTGCTCTCGCAAGTCAGGTACGCGGTCAGCGATCGCGTGCCTGACATGTCAGCTGGCTCTATATTATTCACTGCCTAGCTGGAGCGGGTGATAAAAAGGGTTTGGTCACTTGAGTGGATTTTCTAGACAACGGTGTCAGCTTTACAGGGGTGAGTGTGGATATATGCTTACTGTTTAATCAAATTTGAAAAATATCTCTAACAATGTTGATATGTTTTGTTGGAGATATGCAGGTTGTGGTATCCTTGTTCACAATTGTCTTTCTCTACACATTTGGTCTTTCTTTGTTCTGACACCTGCCCTAATATATAGGATGTAATGTCCTACTTTTTAAAGTGACACTAAACTCAGGAGTTAAATCTTCAAAATGCATTCAAGTACCTTAACTAGTAACAAAAATACAGTATATCTTATTTGTGCATCACTCAGCTGTATTTCCTCGAATTATCTCTGAATTCATGCTGACACTGTCCTTCCTTTTGGAGGGTGGCTACGGTTGTACCCTATGGTACCTATGTGTGTTGCAAAGCAGCAAGCGTTGTAAGCTCACTCCTGTGATGGGCTACAATCTCAATACAAATTAGTGAACTAAATGTGAGATTCCAGTCCATCACGGGAGCATGCTTGCAGTGGTGGCTACTTTTCAACACACACTGGACCATGGTAACAAAAGTAACCACCCTCCAGAAGGAAGGACAGTAACTGCACAAATTCAGAGACTATTTGGGGATCTACAGCTGAATGATATACAAATAAGCTACATTATTGTTAACAGTTAAGGAACTTGAATGCATTTTTAAAATTTAATGCCTGAGTTTAGAGTCACTTTAAAAATAGTTCTGTCACAGCACTCCCCACCTTTTAACATATATCAGGTTTTATTACTTTCTGTGTCCCAGTTAAGGAGATTCGGGCTCTCTAATTGTCCTGATCATCAATGTCACTGGGAACAATAGTGCGGATAAATCCAAAACTTTAAGTTGCCCTCAGAACAGGAATAGAGGGGAAATCCTCAATTCCTGTTCTGATGGGGAGTCTTGTTCCTGTGACAACTAAAAGAGGATTTCCCTTACATTGGAAAGATCTAATTTCCAATTTAGTCTACAGGACAGGCAGTGTAGGGAAATCTTCTAAATGAGACACAGATGGCAACAAAAATGATAGCAGTTTTAACCCTCACCTACTCTATCCAAAATGGAAAAAAATTGGCTTTACATATACTTCAACCAATTGCAGACCGGCAACTTTACATATACAGCGAGTCCACCGCCCCAATGTTCGAGGAGAACATGCATATTACAGGCAGGTGCAGAAGCTACTGCTCCTGATTTCGTTAGACAGCAGAGAGCTTTGGCTTCAGGCAGAGAGCTGATCAGACCAGCTATGTGCCTTATGATCACGTGTTAACATTGCCAAGCCCTTCCTTCCTCTTACAACAGAGACAGGGGACCAGGGGCAAGGGGGAGAGTAAAGGAACTAATTAATAAATAAGTAATCCATTCATTAGTTCCTAGTGAAAACAAGCTGCAGCAGAAAGAAATAGTAAAGTTGGTGATAATGTTTAACCCTTTCACTCCCTTTCCTCTCCTATATATGTCAGCTGTATTCTATCTCTGCTCTGAACTGTTTATAAGCCCCTTTAATGTATCTAGTACACCATTACCAACCAATACCAGCATTTCTTCATTTTCTAAAAATTAGTGCGAAAAATAGCATCACCTTGGGGTATCTACTTTCTGAAAAGGGGTCATTTCAGGAATGTTCGTACTGTCCTGACATTTTTATTTGTTTTTGTTTTTTTTTTCTATTATATATTAAAACATTTAAAAAGGGTTTCTTAAATACCACCAAAAGAAAGCTCTCAAAAAAATTATGCAAAATGAATTTGGGTACAGTGTTGCTTAACCGAGTAATTCTCAGTCAATCTATCACAATACTGAAAAATGTCCTGGTGATGAAGGAAATTTAAACTGCCGATCATGAAGAGCTCAATATAGGCATATCCAGATGTAATTTTGATATTAATACTATAATATTGTTAGTGTATATCCATAAAAACTGTTTATTTTTAGTTTTGAATAGAATGGGGAAGGATTAGAGCACATCTCTGGTTTTTAGTGCTATCCTTGGCTCCAATACAGAGATGTCACCTCACTTCCTGTCCCAGTGACAATGGTTTCATCAGCGAGTTAGAGAGGGAAAATCTGCAATAGGGACACTGAAATAAAAAGCTGACTGTGTTGCTGGAAGGTATTCTTTCACTTCCTGTTTGGTAAAACCTTTGTCACTGTGACAATAAATGAAGAAAGATCTCTCTGAGACTCATAAAGCAGTTAAAACATTTGCAGAAGTTCTAATTCTTCCCTACTGTATACAAATATACAAAACAAAATTTAAAAAATGGCTGGCCTTACACTTTAAATATACACCTTTCTTATATGTCGCAAATACTGTTGAGATTTATATTGAAGTTTTCTTTCTATAGATGACCTGAGAAAAGAAATGGAAACGGTCAACTTGAAGGAGACTTTGGAGAAACTTTGCGGGCACAGCAATAGCAATGTGGTCAAACAAGCTAACACAGTCCTGCAGATAATGGCAAACACCAGCCAGACCACTGGCCACTTTTTTGCATAATATTTATCCTTTAGCAAAGCAAAATGTAGCAAGCCTGCTCCTGCACCCAGCCATCATATTTTCCGCAAACAGCATAGCATTATCTTATGCTGATAAAGTAGTATATTAGCTAGAAAGAAGAAACATGCAACAAAAGACCATCATTCATGGCTAGCTTAATAGGTGGTATTGTTATGACCTGCAGTGCCTGTACATCTTAATAAGTACAATAAAGTACAACAGAATTGCAAAATATTAAAGATGAATAAATTCTAAAAGATGTATGGGAAGTGAAAAAAATTAGTGTGTGCAAACTAAAGTAACCCAGAGCAACCAGTTAGTTTAATCTATTGAAATCAGATTACTTATGTACTGTGTTAATAGTAGGCTAACAAGATCATTCATTGTTCCACTCAATAAACCAGTAAGTGTACAACTATCATTTCTGCAGGGCAGAGTTGGAAATAAAATTAGGATTCTTATTAAAGAAATGTTTAAACACACTTTTCAATTTGTTCAATGCTACTTTCCTGGCTGAAAATGCCTAAATAGCCCATCTAGCATCTTCAGTTTATTGGTTTCCAGCTTGTGACTGTGTACTGCCGTACCTTCACATGGATCCTAGGTGGTTATAGTTTCCAGGGACATCTGCATGTACCATCACCAATGTACAGTATGCATCAAAGTGGGTGTCTAAACCTGCTCATACATCATTCACATAAACTCTTCAACATCTAATGACCTCAAGCTTTGTAGGCAGTGGCGAACGTGAGGAACAAAGGGCCCTGGTGCAAGATTTTTT